GATTTCGGTTCGACTTTTTCCCAATCTTGATAAAGGGGATGTCAGTCCTGGGGCTTGAGTTGGTGCCGACTCTCAAATTTCTCTCTGTAATGTCAGTTGTGGAAGTCGGGTGTGGCCGAAGAAGATGAAAACTAATCCTCCGATGTCGGTGAGGTCGGAGAAATGAAGTCGGATCCTCGATGACAATGAAATCAAAAGAGTAACATCGGATCCCAGTCATGTTTCAAAGGTCGGACTTGGCGTTACAGATGTCGGCCTGTTGACAATATTCCGGAGGTTGGTTGTACTTTGGAGATCCGAACTTGGGCCCCGTTATGGATTGAGATCCAATGGTGAAGCCGGACTCAGAAGTGGTGATGTCTGTTTAACTTGTAGAGCTTGATCTCGGCAACGAAGGATGTTTTCTGTCATCGATAGGAAGACGTCAATTTAGGAGAAAGAAGATCAGTCCGACGCCTGAGGTCATCGTCGGAGATAAATTTTGGGTCCCTACTACAGTTGGGAGGTATGCGTTAGAGGCAGCGAGGTCTGAGTGCTACCGATGTCGATGTAGAATTGACAAGGTCGGTGCCGGAGCGTAGATGCAGACCGAAAGAGATAAAGTTAGCTCGGTTGTACTAACGTCGGAGAGTGAGATGTCGGATTCTTGTTGGACCGGACCGAGAAGTAAAAGTCAGTTCTGACCGATATGCGCAGTCAGGCCCTGGCAACCGACGTCGTATTTGGAGGTCCGCAGACAGTGATATGTTTGAATTTTCATCTTTCAGCTATAGGTATACAAATTGGAAGAGCTAAAGAACAACGTAGTGTAATTACACTCCAAGGAGGATTGATATTGACACCGCTTGGCTTATCTTCTTCATGAATCTTCGAAATTGATTTATGCCTATCTCTTTCTGTTACTTGCGGGAGACTTTTTATTTTTTTGTGCAGTCCCAACCAAAATAAAATTCAGAAGACTGTAAGGTCATGTAACTAGATGTAAAGCACACCTGAGGACAAAGAACATATGATCTGCGAATTTGAGAATGGAGTCCCAACTTGAAGATGTTGAATTTTGCGGCAGAACTGTGGTTGCTTCTTGGTGAAAATTAACTCCGAATAAATTACGGAGCCCTTCCTCTAGCGCCAAACTGTTGTTATGCGATTTTGTAACAACATAAAATGTACACCCCTATTCCGTAAATAGTCGATGTGGGATAAATGGGAATTTGTAGTGATATTTGGGAGATGAAGATCTATCCCTTTTTCTTTGTTTGTTGGTGTTTGCTGTATAATTTGGGATCAAGACTTGAATACAAAGAGTAAAGAAATTGAAAGAAGTAGAACTATATTTCTTGTTATTGAAGGATTGAAAGGATTAGGGAGAAATTCTCCTCCTGAGGCGGTGCCTCCTTTTACAGTAGATAAAGGAGAAAAGTAAAAGTGTGTGTACTTATCTCTTTAGCCTCTATTTATAGCTGGGCTAATATGGGCCCCGTATATCTAATGGGCTGTTAAAATATGACCGCGCAAGGCCCAATAATAAATATGACCGCGCAGGGTCGAATAATAAATAATAGTTTCGACGGGCACTTTAACTGGTATTTATCTTGTCGGCAATTGACGTGTCTGGTATCCACGTGT